CCCCCCCCCCCCCCCTCAGGTCGTACCGGGGCTTCCGGCGTTCCTGCCTGTAAATGCAAGTTTGGACAGAGACATGCCATGTTTAATACATATATAGAAAAGTACTCACAGAAAAACGGTGAGCATGACCTGCGTTTTAATCCACCGATATTTTTCATTCTTTTTCACGTCATCCACGCCTTTCGAGCGTAATATTATAAGAAAAACATTGGAGAAGTGAAACGTGGGCCATGTTCTCTCTTCATATCAAAACCGACAAAATATGTAAGAGAAGAACCATCATTTTGCAAAATTTTATTTGAGATATACTACTGCTCAGCCAGTCATTGTTTCACAATCAACACTTATCAGACATTCCAGTGAGTTTATAAAATATCTTAGAAATAAAAAAGTTCGGGTTTTTCTCTTCAAATTATGCTGCTTCATCTTCTTCCTCCTCCTCCTCAAATTCTCCTTCTTCCTCGGCTGTCGCTTCTTGATATTGTTGATATTCAGAAACCAAGTCATTCATGTTTGATTCAGCCTAAAAAATAATGATAATAATTGTTCATGATTTGCCCAAAATTACTTGGAAGAATACAGACCTTCACAACTTAATACTAATTTTGATAACAAAATTCATTCCAAGAAGGACCCCTCTGAGCAAAAAAAAATCTACTTTTTTTACTATTTGTGCAGGAAAAAATGGTACACCATCAGAATGAGAAAATGTTTGTTCTTTCATTGTTTGTTCACCACATTTGGGTGGGCCAAAGGTTGTACCACCTGTAGCCCACCAACACAGATGTATTAGTTTTCATGGGATTGAAACATACCTCAGTGAATTCCATTTCATCCATGCCTTCTCCAGTGTACCAATGCAAGAAAGCTTTGCGACGGAACATAGCAGTGAACTGCTCACTGATTCGTTTGAACAATTCTTGAATGGCGGTGCTGTTTCCAATGAAGGTACCAGACATCTTCAAACCTCTGGGAGGAATATCACAGACAGCAGTCTTCACATTGTTAGGGATCCATTCCACAAAGTAGGAGCTGTTCTTGTTCTGGACATTCAACATTTGTTCGTCAACTTCTTTCATGGACATTCGACCACGGAACAGTGCAGCAACAGTAAGATATCGGCCATGACGGGGATCACAAGCTGCCATCATGTTTTTGGCGTCAAACATTTGTTGGGTGAGTTCTGGCACAGTGAGTGCACGGTACTGGGATGAACCACGGCTGGTGAGTGGGGCAAAGCCAGGCATGAAGAAGTGAAGACGAGGGAAAGGTACCATGTTAACAGCCAATTTTCTCAAGTCAGCATTCAACTATCAACAGAAGATTTTAAATTAAACTTAATTAAAGAATTTGGCTACTATATTTTATGCATTATATTTTATATAAACCACAATTTATTACATGCTTCCATGAATGAGAAAATACACATTCCTATTCGACCCCTTACCTGACCGGGGAATCTTAGACAGGTTGTAATACCACTCATCGTAGCTGAAACAAGATGGTTCAAATCGCCATACGTGGGGGTGGTTAGTTTCAAGGTTCGGAAACAAATGTCGTAAAGAGCTTCATTGTCAATACAGAAGGTTTCATCTGTGTTTTCTACAAGTTGATGTACTGAGAGGGTTGCATTGTATGGTTCAACAACTGTGTCCGAAACTTTTGGTGAGGGTACCACGCTGAATGTGGTCATTATTCTGTCGGGGTATTCTTCACGGATTTTTGAAATAAGCAGGGTGCCCATTCCAGAGCCAGTGCCCCCTCCAAGAGAATGTGTTAGTTGAAAACCTTGCAGGCAATCGCAGCCTTCAGATTCTTTTCGGACAATATCTAAGACAGAGTCTACAAGTTCAGCTCCTTCAGTGTAATGTCCCTTCGCCCAGTTGTTACCGGCTCCACTCTGGCCTGAAAGCAAAAATACAAATATGAGCAACGAAGAGACAACACGAGGTCGACATGGTAACAGCAAACAAATATGACTATACAACGGTTACCCGTGTTTGAATTTTAATAAACACAAAATCTTTTAAAACCTTACCAAATATAAAGTTATCCGGTTTGAAAATTTGTCCAAATGGTCCAGAGCGAACGGAATCCATCGTTCCCGGCTCCAAATCGACCAAAACCGCTCTAGGAACATATTTCCCGCCTAAAATGTAACAAATCGTTGAGCATGCAGCTTCGCAGTTTGCGTTGCCAAGGACTTGAAGAGGGTCTTTGTATCAGTATAAAGAACGCGTAACCAACACTTGCTGCACACTCTAACATTAAGAGCGGTTCTTACCCGTTGCTTCGTTATAATAAACGTTTATTCTTTCTAACTGAAGGTCTGAATCGCCGTGATATGTGCCAGTTGGGTCGACACCATGTTCATCAGAGATCACTTCCCAGAACTATAAAATAAAACGCGCTTCGTGTTAAATACGTATTAATTATTTGTTCTAATGTGTTCTAATGGCAGTGAGAAGCCTACCTTCGCTCCAATTTGATTGCCACACTGCCCAGCTTGAAGATGAACGATTTCTCTCATTATAAAACCTTTTGAAAACAACAGCAACAATATTCTACGATCCAAACGCAAAGCTAGAAGACAGAGGAATGGCAAGCTTTTGACTTTTCACAATTCAGGTTTCGCCTTTCGGTTTTTGAATAATTAGCATTAAATTGATTATGACGTAATAATAATTGAAAAGTGACCAATAGTGGACTAGGGCCAGTCCAAACGCGGTTAAACCTGAAAAACAGGCATTGCACGTCATCCCACGTGTATTCAACAGCCAATCAGATGTGTTTTATTACTAATGATGTAATGTTTTATGATGACATTATTATTAGGCCCGGTTTAGACGGCGAACTTCTCATGCGCCGAATCATAGTTAATATGGCCGAATCTAATAAGCACGACATATGTGTACCAAAATCTGGAATTCTCATGAGCACGTTCAAATATGTACAAAAATAATGTTACTTTTGCATGACTATTCTCATGAAGATTCTGAATTTTGCAAAAGGGAAAATTTTAATGAAAATTCTGGATTTTGGTTCATATATAGCATTAGGCCCGGTTTAGACGGCGAACTTCTCATGCGCCGAATCTAATAAGCACGACATATGTGTACCAAAATCTGGAATTCTCATGAGCACGTTCAAATATGTACAAAAATAATGTTACTTTTACATGACTATTCTCATGAAGATTCTGAATTTTGCAAAAGGGAAAATTTTAATGAGAATTCTGGATTTTGGTTCATATATAGCGTGCTTATGAGAATCCCCTATTTTGTGTCTCATAAGCATGCCATATATGTACCAAAATTAGAATTCTCAAGAGCACGTTCACATTTTTCCAAAATAATGTTATTTTTGCACCACTATTCTCATGAGGATTCTAAATTTTGCAAAAGGGAAAATTTTCATGAGAATTCTGACTTTTGGTACATATATGGCGTGCTTATGAGAATCCCGAATTTTGGTGTCTCATAAGCACGCCATGTATGTACCAAAATCTAGAATTGTCATGAGCTCTTTCAAATATGTACAAAAATAATGTTACTTTCGCATGACTATTCTTATGAGGATTCTGTATTTTGCTAGAGAAAATGATTTTCATGAGAATTCTTGATTTTGCTACCTATATGGCGTGCTTATGAGAATCCCCTATCTTGTGTCTCATAAGCACGCCATATATCTACCAAAATCTAGAATTCTCATGAGCACGTTCAAATATGAACAAATATAAGGTTACTTTTGCATGACTATTCTCATGAGTATTCTGAATTTTGCAAAAGGGAAATATTTTCGTGAGAATTCTGGTTTTTCCTTCATATATGGCGTGCTTATGAGAATCCCTATTTTGGTGTCTCATAAGCACGCCATGTGTGTACCAAAATTTAGAATTCAAATAAGCACGTTCAAATATGTACAAAAATAATGTTACTTTCCCATGACTATTCTTATGAGGATTCTGTATTTTGCTAGAGAGAATGATTTTCATGAGAATTCTTGATTTTGCTACCTATATGGCGTGCTTATGAGAATCCCCTATTTTGTCTCTCATAAGCACGCCATATATGTTCCAAAATCTAGAATTCTCATGAGCACGTTCAAATTTGTACAAAAATAATATTACTTTTCCATGACTATTCTCATGAAGCTTCTGAATTTTGCAAAAGGGAAAATTTTAAAGAGAATTCTGGATTTTGGTTCATATATATGGCGTGCTTATGAGAATCCCCTATTTTGTGTCTCATAAGCACGCCATATGTGTACCAAAATTTAGAATTCTCATAAGCACGTTCAAATATGTAAAAAATAATATTTCTTTTGCATGACTATTCTCACGAGGATTCTGAATTTTGCAAAAGGAAAAATATTCATGAGAATTCTGCCTTTTGGTACCTATATGGCGTGCTTATGAGAATCCCGAATTTTGGTGTCTCATAAGCACGCCATGTATGTACCAAAATCTAGAATTCTCATGAGCACGTTCAAATATGTACAAAAATAATGTTACTTTCGCATGACTATTCTTATGAGGATTCTGTATTTTGCAAACGGGAAAATTTTTCGTGAGAATTCTTGATTTTGCTACCTATATGGGTGCTTATGAGAATCCCTATTTTGGTGTCTCACTATAAGCACGCCATGTGTGTACTAAAATTTAGAATTCTCATAAGCACGTTCAAATATGTACAAAAACAATGTTACTTTCCCATGACTATTCTTATGAGGATTCTGTATTTTGCTAAAGAGAATGATTTTCATGAGAATTCTTGATTTGGCTACCTATATGGCGTTCTTATGAGAATCCCCTATTTTGTGTCTCATAAGCACGCCATATATGTACCAAAATCTAGAATTGTAATGAGCACGTTCAAATATGAACAAATATAAGGTTACTTTTGCATGACTATTCTCATGAGCATTCTGCGGAATTTTGCAAACGGGAAAAATTTTCGTGAGAATTCTTGATTTTGCTACCTATATGGGGTGCTTATGAGAATCCCTATTTTGGTGTCTCATAAGCACGCCATGTCTGTACTAAAATTTAGAATTCTCATAAGCACGTTCAAATATGTACAAAAATAATGTTACTTTCCCATGACTATTCTTATGAGGATTCTGTATTTTGCTAGAGAGAATGATTTTCATGAGAATTCTTGATTTGGCTACCTATATGGCGTGCTTATGAGAATCCCCTATTTTGTGTCCCATAAGCACGCCATATATGTACCAAAATCTAGAATTGTAATGAGCACGTTCAAATATGAACTAATATAAGGTTACTTTTGCATGACTATTATCATCAGGATTCTGAATTTTGCAAACGGGAAAAATTTTCGTGAGAACTCTTGATTTTGCTACCTATATGGCGTGCTTATGAGAATTCCTATTTTGGTGTCTCATAAGCACGCCATGTATGTACCAAAATTTAGAATTCTCATAAGCACGTTCAAATATGTACAAAAATAATGTTACTTTCCCATGACTATTCTTGTGAGGATTCTGTATTTTGCTAGAGAGAATGATTTTCATGAGAATTCTTGATTTTGCTACCTATATGGCGTGCTTATGAGAATCCCCTATTTTGTGTCTCATAAGCACGCCATATATGTACCAAAATCTAGAATTGTAATGAGCACGTTCAAATATGAACTAATATAAGGTTACTTTTGCATGACTATTATCATCAGGATTCTGAATTTTGCAAACGGGAAAAATTTTCGTGAGAACTCTTGATTTTGCTACCTATATGGCGTGCTTATGAGAATTCCTATTTTGGTGTCTCATAAGCACGCCATGTATGTACCAAAATTTAGAATTCTCATAAGCACGTTCAAATATGTACAAAAATAATGTTACTTTCCCATGACTATTCTTGTGAGGATTCTGTATTTTGCTAGAGAGAATGATTTTCATGAGAATTCTTGATTTTGCTACCTATATGGCGTGCTTATGAGAATCCCCTATTTTGTGTCTCATAAGCACGCCATATATGTACCAAAATCTAGAATTGTAATGAGCACGTTCAAATATGAACTAATATAAGGTTACTTTTGCATGACTATTATCATCAGGATTCTGAATTTTGCAAACGGGAAAAATTTTCGTGAGAACTCTTGATTTTGCTACCTATATGGCGTGCTTATGAGAATTCCTATTTTGGTGTCTCATAAGCACGCCATGTATGTACCAAAATTTAGAATTCTCATAAGCACGTTCAAATATGTACAAAAATAATGTTACTTTCCCATGACTATTCTTGTGAGGATTCTGTATTTTGCTAGAGAGAATGATTTTCATGAGAATTCTTGATTTTGCTACCTATATGGCGTGCTTATGAGAATCCCCTATTTTGTGTCTCATAAGCACGCCATATATGTACCAAAATCTAGAATTCTCATGAGCACGTTCAAATATGCACAAATATAAGGTTATTTTTGCATGACTATTCTCATGAGGATCCTGAATTTTGCAAACGGCAAAAATCTCCGTGAGAATTCTGGTTTTTCCTTCATATATGGCGTGCTTATGAGAATCCCTATTTTGGTGTCTCATAAGCACGCCATATATATGTGTACCCAGGGACGCCGGAACTGGGGGGCAGGGGGGGCGGCTGCCCCCCTTGCCTTTTGCTAGGGGGGGCAGGGGGGGCAAAAGTGCCCTTTTAGTTGTAAAATAATACGTGATAAATCACATTTCCAACGATGCTTTTTGTAGGAAAATCACGAGATTCAGGTAATTTATAGTTTATATTTATAAAAATTTTGGGAAATTTTTGGAATTAGAAAATTTTCAGTAAAGGTGCCCTTGGTGTGCGTCCGCCCCCCTTTGCCCTATTATCGTTCCGGCGTCCCTGTGTGTACCAAAATCTAGAATTCTCATGAGCACGTTCAAATATGTAGAAGAATAATCTTACTTTCGCATCACTATTCTTATGAGGATTCTGTATTTTGCTAGAGAGAATGATTTTCATGAGAATTCTTGATTTTGCTAGCTATATGGCGTGCTTATGAGAATCCCCTATTTTGTGTCTCATAAGTACGCCATATATGTACCAAAATCTAGAATTGTAATGAGCACGTTCAAATATGAACAAATATAAGGTTACTTTTGCATGACTATTCTCATCAGGATTCTGAATTTTGCAAACGGGAAAAATTTTCGTGAGAATTCTTGATTTTGCTACCTACATGGCGTGCTTATGAGAATCCCTATTTTGGTGTCTCATAAGCACGCCATGTGTGTACCAAAATTTAGAATTCTCATAAGCACGTTCAAATATGTACAAAAATAATGTTACTTTCCCATGACTATTCTTATGAGGATCCTGTATTTTGCTAGAGAGAATGATTTTCATGAGAATTCTTGATTTTGCTACCTATATGGCGTGCTTATGAGAATCCCCTATTTTGTCTCTCATAAGCACGCCATATATGTTCCAAAATCTAGAATTCTCTTGAGCACGTTCAAATTTGTACAAAAGTAATATTACTTTTGCATGACTATTCTCATGAAGATTCTGAATTTTGCAAAAGGGAAAATTTTAATGAGAATTCTGGATTTTGGTTCATATGTGGCGTGCTTATGAGAATCCCCTATTTTGTGTCTTATAAGCACGCCATATCT